AATGAGCCCTGCAGTCCTGCCCAGTGGACTCCCTTGGATAATTGCAGTATTTACTGATGCAGGTGCCGGGTGTCTCTCCCTGGGTACCTTGGTAGCAGGGGATTGTTGCCTGGTAGCTAAGCCCTGTTCCAGATGTCAGCAGGGAGAGGAGAGGCTCCTAGGGAGAGGACCAGCTTCAGCCACCATCCCAAGGAGGGAGATGGGACGGAAATAGCTGGGGTGAGCACAGTGGTGCTCCTGCTGCAACCCAGGGAAAGCAGCACCCAGGCAGGGTCCCTGGCAGCCTGTAGAGAGGGCCAGGGGCTCAGGACTACATCCCAGCCAGCAAGCCCTGCATGGGAGCAGCGTTGAGCCTGGCCTCCCCTGCTTCCAAAGCTTTCTACAGCTCCCCATCACCCAGTGGGTCACAAACTGGGTGGGGCTTGTTTGGTCTGCATGGTTGTTTATTTTATTTTATTTTTATGTTTGTGAGACAGAGTTTTACTTTGTTACCCTGGGTAAAGTGCCATGGTGTCACAGCTCACAGCAACCTCAAACTCTTAGGCTCAAGTGATTCTCTTGCCTCAATTTTTTGAGTAGATGGGACTCTAGGGGTCTGCCACAATGCCTGGCTAGTTTTTTAGAGACAAGGTCTCCCTCTGGCTCAGCCTGGTCTTGAACTCATGAGCTCAATCCACCCACCTTTGCCTCCCGGAGTGCTAGGATTACAGGCATGAGCCACCACACCCAGCCTTGCATGGTGTTTAAAAACAATTTCAGCCAATACTTATAAAGATTTCACATGCATTTCCAAGTCCTGGAGTCTGGAGCAGCTCCGAGCACTCGCTCCTGCTCGGTAGTGAGGGTCTCCCCTTCCCATGTGGTCTCACTGAACCACAGCCCCCACACCTTCCTATTGTTCCCCCCTTGTGCTATGGCCAAGTGTGAGAGGCTATTAGACAGAACATTCATCCTTTACCCCCACTGCTGAGAAAAGTGGGAAGTGAATGATATGCTGAGACAGGCCGATATTTTGAGAAACAGCTGAACAGGCATATTTCCTTGTATGGTGAGTTGTTGATGAGGCTGCTTCTCTGGTTCACATGACTGAGCAGCCTGGATCCTGGAGATGTTTGTGCTTCTGACCCTTGGTCTGTGGACAAATCTCTGAGCTTTGGCCTCTGTGAGTTGACCCTGATGTTCAGGAGATCCATGTGACCTTGGGGTGAGTGACCAGGGGCAGTTAGGCAGCCTGCCCCTAGGTCCTTCCCAGACCCCATCCTGATCCTGCACTCTGGGAGTCTACCAGCCACTCTCCTGCAGCTGGGCTTTCTCCTGTCTATAGCTGGGAGCATCCAGGGAGCACCACCATCTCTCAAGCCCGGGCAGATCGAAGGCCCCTTTCTCTGTTCTGCTCCCATGTGCTCTTTTGGTTCCATCTCAGGGGGTTTACCAGCAGCTATGAGAATTCACTTTTTATTTTCCATGAGCAGCACTGAGGGGCCCGATCCAGGTTCTGCCCCTCAGTGCTATCCTCAGTCATGGCATGGATTAGATTAGTAAGTGTTGAATGAATTTCTACATTGCCTTGAGGAAGCTTTTCAAGCCAAGGATCTAGACTGTGCAGATCCGAGCCACCCACAGTGGTCTGGTGGGGCCAGCTCCTCACAGCTGCTGAAATAGCACCGATTCACTGGTACTTCCTCCCCCAGACATCTCCCTGTCTTCTGAGTTAGAGTTACTGAGAAGACCCCAACTTACACTCATATATACAACCCACCTCCCCACCCCCCCGCACACACACACACACACACACACACACATACCCAAGTAGGGCCTATAAACCATCTCAGCACCTCTGACAGGCCGCAGGCTGCACTCCAGCCTGCTAATAGGACATTAGCATCTTAGAAGTTTCATAAAAGAAAGTTACTATAAACTCTTGCCTAAAAAAATGCCTGCTACAAAAGACTTAATTGAAAAGCTATGTCTCAGGGAAACCACCCCCAATGTTGAGAGATGTTGTCTCTTCCAGAAATCCTTCCTGGACCCACAGTCTTGGTTGGGGCCTCCTTGAACTTCCACAGCCCCCTTGCCTGTTGGTCTGTCTGTCTCCGCTCTAGACTGTGGGCTCTCCAGGGTAGTGGGTGCAGCCCCAGCCCTGGTACCTACCAAGTGACTCACACAATCGGCTGAGTGGTCGTTGAGCAGAAGCATGGAAACCTCATCTTTTTTGCCCTCCTGCATTTTGAAAAGGCCAGATTGAGGAGTTCCTTATCTTGAACTCCTCTTGTCCCTGGAATGGTCTATGCAGGGCAGGGATTATGATAACAACATCAACATCATCTTATTGATAGCAGTCACTTGGGGCCCAGACCTAAGATGCCTGTGCCTTGCAAGAAGGGACAGAATTGGTCTGATGGCAGCTTTTCCCATCAAGTGATGAGTGAGGGAGACATCACTCTGTTGTGTGTGTGTGGGGTGGTGGGGGGTGTGGGAGCAGGTAGCCCCACCCCAGAGGGCTGCACTGGGGGACTTGGAGGGCTTTAGTTAAAGATAACATTGGGGTTCCAAGATAGACTGAGTCTCCTCAGCAAAATGTCCCCCCCAAAACCAAAAAAACACAAAATGAGACTGTCTTAATAACAGCAAAGGAGGGAAAAAAAATTAAGGACCCACCACGGAGATGTGGTTAAGGGAATCTGCTACCCAATGGGAAGGACTGTCTAACAGAACAAATTTCTAAGCAGTTATCAGTAAAGGAAAACTGTTTCATGTTATACCTCAAGGGGTTGAGACTCCTGGATCAAATCCATTACATTTAAACATCTACATGTACAAACAACGAGTTTGTATATACACGGATCTTCCTACCAGGCTGTGTAACAAAGGTGACAACTGCCTCTGTGGATGAGTGGGGATGGGGAGAGAGGGAAGTGGGTGGAGGCTGACTTTCCACTTATTTCGTTGTAGCTTTTGAATTTTTTTAAACTGTAGACACCTATCATTTTCAATTAAAATGGGTAAAAGTTTTGACAAATTTGCAGAACAGAGGTGACAAGGTCTTCCTGTGTTGGAACTCAAGGGGTGGGCTGGAGCTGGAGAGCATTTCCTCTTTTTTTTTCCATTTACTGGTCTCTCCTTCCTGAGATGGTGAGTGTGTCAGGGGCGGCGCTGGGTCCTCTTCTTGCGCCCCCGGTGGAGGAGGCTCAGCTAGTTGGCTGCCCCCATCCAGCGCCTATTCATGGGCTACGGGTGGCAGCCCACAGTTTGCTGGCTGTGTCAGGCTGGGTGTGCTCACGTGCCAGCTTTGTCACCTCACTACCCAGCTCTGGGTGCCTCACTGGGCAGCCACACAGCCACAGGGTTGGAACCAACCCATCCTCTGCCCTCTCCTGGTTTTTCCTGATCCATCCCTGAGTCTGGGACAAAGAAGAGGGTCCCAGGGGTGGAGCTGTCTCATCCAGTCCAGTGCCAGGCCCCTCCCCCCAAAATTATAGAACTGCACCAGCCAGAAGGCTCTCATAGAGCAGTGGATCTAAGTCACGCATTTCACAAATGGGGAAACTGAGGCTCGGGGAGGGACAGTGACTCCAAAGTTCCAGTCCAGTATCAGGACCAGAACACAGGTTTCCTAATTTCAAGATCATAACTCTTCACACCGCAACTGCTGCCCAACCTGCTTTTAGGTTCCAAGGGGCAGGAGGTGGGTAGAAGATAAGGGCGTTTGCATGGGTGGCCTTAACTCCTGGGGGAATCCAGACCATCTGCCTGCCTGTGGGGTCACGTGTATAGAACGAATACCCCACATTTCGCACTGCCCACCCTCAGCTGCTCCTCCTTCCCGTCCTTCCCTTCACTCTCCTAACCAGACATGTTCTTTTTCTTTTCTCCCTGAGAAATTCTTACCCCAAATCATCCCCTCTAGGAAGGCCTTGCTCTGGTGTGCTGGGTCTCTCAGGAACAATGGCAGTCTGAGCCCAGGGTCTGCATGCATGTGTGTGCAAGTGTGCCCTGACTCTCTGTCTCCTCCATCAGGCCACGAGCACCCAGAGGACAATGCATGTTTTCCTTTGTCCTGGTAACTTCCAGTCTCAGGCTTAGCCCACGAGCTCTCTCTACACCCAGGGGTATAGCTGGGTAATACCTGGCATAGACCCCAGAGCCACATGTCCCAGAAAGTCCAGGCACCACATACTTCAGGTTGTGAGTAGATGGAAAGAGTTCCATGGCCAAACACATCCAGGACACCCCGTGTGAATAGGAGGAGAGCAGGTTCGCGCAGGGCTTCTCAGAGCCTTTACGTGCCACTGGACATCATGACTGGCCAGAGGCAACTCAGACAAGGAGAGCTGAGTTCAACATGGCAGAGGGGACCAGCCGTAATGGGACTTCTGCCAGTCTTATAGCACCTTTGTGAAAATGAGTACAAGGCACCCTCCTCTGGACATTGACATCCATGCAAAAATTAACACCAGTTGTTTATTTTATTAGAACAAGACCCTTTACTGCCGTCTGCCGGCAACATCTCGTAGTAAATACACAAGCCTACAACATACAGTATATGGGAATGTTGTCCCCTCCCCCCTGGGTAATTTGGTACTCTTGCCCTGTGGTATAACCTGCCCAGTGATTCATGGCGGCCCTGAACCCAGACTCACATGATCGCAACCTGCTCATCATTCTCTTTCTGCCTGCACAATAGTATGCCTGCACTGCACAATAGTATGCCTGCCTGCACTATGTCCCCAGTGAGGGTTCTGCACCCTAGAACAGGTTCCGGAAATGCTTATGCTCAGAGAGCACTGACTGGGACCCAGTTTTACACAGGCTCTGCCTTGCTGTGTGACTACAGGGGCATCCCCACCCCTCTCTATAAAATCAGACAGCGGAGCTTGATCATCTTCAGGGGCTCAGAGAGCTCTGAACCAACAGCAACGGCCCCATCCTCTGTGGAACTTTGAGAAGAGAAACACAGTCACTCCCCATTGCTGACACACAGCCAGGAAGACAGCAAAATACAACCTGGAATTTTTTATTAGACTAGGAAATATAATTTATTTCATAAAAATTAATTTTGTTACAATAGGAATGCTAAAGGTTATTTACAGGTTGTAGTTTACAGAATAGACAGAGGTGGGATTGGGGACCATCCCTGGGGTCCTGCAGCCCCCTGGGCAAATAACCATGTCCATGGCCCAGGCAGGGGGTCCAGCCCTTTGCCCCCAGGAGAGCTGTTCCCGACACCCAAGCTCCTGGTCACCTCCCCTCAGAAGGCCTGCTAAGGGACCTGGCTCAGCTGCCTGGGAGCTAGAGGGCCCTGGACAGTCCAGATGAGGAGGGACCCCCGCACCTTGGGAGGACCCCTGCGCCAAGCTCTGGAGCCAGGGGAACTGTGAGAGAAGGCAGAGGAGAGGCACGTAGAAGATACACGACTGACCCTGTGGACTTGGGGGCAAGAGACAGGCATGCCAACCTCCAGATGGCCAGAACTGGGCCGAAGAGGCAGGCACACCGCCCCCCACACAAGGGGAGACGTGTGCACATGCATCCCCCCTCCACACAAGGGGGGACGTGTGCACATGCATCCCCCCCACACACAAGGGGGGACGTGTGCACATGCATCTGGAGAGGCACCCCGATGTGCCCGCGGAGAAGAGCACAGGCACGCACAGACACACGCACATACACGCACACCCCAGAGACGAGAGAGATGTGAACACCTGTGCGGGGGTCCTGCAGGCCCCCCAACAGCACCTCAGTGTCTGCTCTCGGGTCTGGAGGAGAGGCAGGCAGCGTAGGGACAGTCACAGTAGCCTCGGCAGATTGATGGAGTCAATAAACCCTTTCTGGGCTTTTCTTATAAAACTGGACAGTTTGAACCTTCCCAGGGCACTCCAGTCAATTGGTTCCATGCTCCAGGTCATGGTACACAATTTCTGGAAGTCAGATTGGAAATGCCACCTGGGTGGCTGGCTGGGCCTCCTCTGCGGAGCTCCCATTCCTGAGGCTGAACAAGTAGGCTTCTGAGGCTGGGTGGGACAGGGCAGGAAAAGGAAGGGAGGAGGGGCAGGGCAGTCCACACTCAACTGCTCCCCACTGGGGCTTCCTTCAGAAGCCTAGAAAGTCTGGCAGTAACCTGAAGGGCTTTGGAGAGCAGCCTTGTAGGTATAAAAAGGACACCAAAGTCCAGAGAAGGCGTGATATGTCTGAGGTCACACAGCTGTTTAATGGCTAAGCTGGAATTTGATTCCTGGTCTCTGGACTCCCAGGTCCCATGTGGACATTTAAGAGCCTCTGATAGGAATGGCACCAGGAAAGCCTGGCATAGCACATGTGTGGTCCAACCTAGTCAGACTGCCCTCAAAGGTATGTGACAGAGACCACACATGTGCTTGGGCTACCAGTGACCAGAGGGGCTGAACCCAGGGGAATGGGCAGCTGTGGCAAAGAGGGCTTGCTGAGTCTGAGGTAGTGTCCAGACAGGCATGAGGGTTGACAGACTCAGAGGCCCAGACAGGGTCCAGAGGCTGGTTCCAGTGGCTGCTCTAGGGCCCAGTCGGACAAGCCCTGGGGTCAGTACTCAGAGGTGCTTGGAGGGGGATGGCCTTGCCTTGAGCGTTGAAGATTGGTCTTGATGAGGCTCTGTGTCAGCTGCCAGGTCCTAGTCTCAGCCACTGCCAGCCAGCTGCACAGGGCCAGGGACTCATCTTTCCCCACTCAGGGTCCCCAGGACAGGCTGGGTGGGGTGGTGTGTGCCAGGCCCTCCACTCTGGCAAACCCACCTATTCAGAAAGGTCACTTTCAGATTTCCCAGACTCAGAGGGTGGGTGAGAAGAGAGTTAGAGCAGGTGCCTGTGGAGCTGAGAGATGGGCAGGTCACTTTCTACCTCCCCCTTTCTGCGTGTGCAAAGCACAGCCAGGCCACCTGCCTCCCACCCTCCCAGCTGGAGGGTGCTGACATCCTCCTGAAGCCACCCAGAGGCTGGGAAGCTCAGGCTTTTGCAGCAACAGAGGTCCTTGTACCCAAAGGGAAAACTGAGTTTGGGCAAGAGAAGATTCTGGATTCCTGGACATCAAGAGAGTGCCAATCAGCCACAGCCCACCTGTCTAGAGACTGCCAGGCTGCTGGCTAGCCCCACCCTGAGGAGAGAGGTACCCATGGAGGACTCCCCTTTCCGACTCCGTCTCTCTGCTTAAGCTCCATTTCTGGGCCACATGTCCTTTCCAGGAGCCACCAGACCCAGACCAGACCAGACCAAGCATTCTCCCTGGCTTGCAGCAGGCCTGGCCTCCCCTCATTTCGCATACCGACGCCTCTTAATCTAGATCCCAGGGGCTCAGAGCAGCCTGAGGGCATCAGCCTGAGCTGTGGGGGCAGGACCCCACACACCCCAGTGCTCAGGGTTCCTTGGCTTCCGAGATTCAGCATCTGCTTAAGATTTTAGAGGGAATTTGGTACCACAACTAAAACCCTATCTGACATGCCCCTGCGCAACTGGGGAAACCGAGGCCTTGTCAGAATTAAGTCCCAAACAGATTCATTAGCAGCAAAGTTTTCCCTGTCCACTCTCTCTCTGTCTCTCTCTCTCTTTCACCACACACACACACACACACACACACACGCACACACACACACACTCCGAGCCCACTCGCATCCACACTTAAGAAAAGAGCTTTTTGTAATTTTTTTTGTGTGTGTTGTTTTCTTTTTCTTTTTCTTTTTTTCTTAAAAAGGACTTATCCAAATATCTGGATAATAAATCACTTGCGTTTCCTAAGAAACTGGGTTTTTCTTTTCCCTTGTGGTTTTGGTGTTTTTCTTCTTCTCTGAGCCTGACTAGCGGTCTGAAGCTTTCTTTCCTTTTCCTTTTGCTTTTGGATGGGAGAAAGCAGTTTGTCTGAGTTCTACTTGACTCTTCAAAGAGGAAAAGGGTGTGACAGCAGAAGGGGCTGAGGGAGGAGGGCACGTCAACAACAGAGGAAGAAAATGAAGAACGTGGCTAAAACCAACGGAACCCAGAAGTTGCGGGGCTGGGGTGGAGGTCGGCCACCTCCTTGTCCCCCCAGCTGCCTCCAAGGCCCCAGCCCCAACCCAGTCTGAGGCCAGGAGAGATGGCAGGGGGTGAAGAAGAAACACTGGGTCCTCTAACAACAGAGTACATGGATTTTCTAAGGCCAGTTGTGGTCTGGGGTTTAGGGGAGGGGAGGAGATGGGGCAACTCCAGCTGTGAGCTGAGGGGCAACAGAGGCTGAACGTCCCCATCAGGAGGCTGCCCCAGCTGTCCGTGCACCCTTCTCCTGCCAGTCCCTGCCAGCCTGCAGTGCCAGCAGCTCAGCAGTCCCCATCAGTGGCCACTGCCACCAGCATTTCACTCTTGCCCATCTCCTCCAAGGCACTGGCCAGGCTGTTGAGGTCCCCATCGTCCTGCTGCAGCGCTTCCCAGAGGTCCAGGATCACGCCTGTGGGGCTTGCTTTGGTGGCAAAGTAATTCAGGTACCTGGCAGAGGGAGGGATAAAGGCCTTGAGCTCCCTGAGCACTTAGTACCTCCTAAGAGCTTAGGGGTGAAGGACACAGGGAAATGGGAAGACTGTGGCTCTGGAGCCCCACAGCCCTGGGTCTGAACCCCAGCTCCACTGCTTGCAGGCTGCATGGTCCTGGGTAAGTCAGTGCACCTCTCTGAGCCTCAGTCTCTTCACTTCTAAAATGGGAATGATGCCAGTCACCTCTCAACATTACAAATGAGCCCCAAGATCATAAAGTGAGGGTCTAGCATTGTTTCTAGCATGTAAACATCTTGCTCATCATCGCCATCTATCATCACTGTGACTGTCACTGAAAGACACTGGCCCCAAGATAGACTGTCCACTCCCAGCATGCCATTCTCTCCTCTTCCTCCATGTTTGTTCTACACTGATCTTGCCCTATGAACACCCAGTAGCAGGAACAAAGTCTTAGTTATCTTTCAAATCCCACCCATTTCTAGAAAGATGTCTTCTCTATAAATCTGTCTTAATGCAGGTTTATTAAACACTATTTCAGTAAGTATAATCTCCATCACTGTCATTATATTTACCCAGCACTTGAAATTCTCCAAAAGAATTTTGACACACTCAGCAAGGGTGTCTGCTCTATCCTGGGTCCTGGGTGCTGATGGCTGTCACACCTGGCTGGTGTCCTGGCTTTAACCAGCTAGGTGAGATAACGCCTGTGAGATGGGCAGGTGGAGCACTTTCCCCATGCAATGGAGAAGAGCAGGGCCTGGAGAGTGTGGCGGTCGCTCAGAGTCTGCCTGGCCCTCGGACCAGGGCTCTGGGTGTGACCCTTCTTAAAGGAGCAGTATCCTCAGACTCGGCACACCTGAGCCCCTGACCTGCCGCAAATGGTGGCAACAGGCACCCGAGTTGGGAGCTGATCCTAGGCTGTCAGGCTGCTTGCCCCTGCTGGGCTTGAGGACTCAGGCAGGAGGCAGAGGGCTGTGGTTTGGGACACTAACCTGTCCACGGAGAGCTTCTGTGCCAGCATCCGCCAGTCATTACCCCGTGAGTTGGGGGCGTCAAGGCTGTTGCATATCTTCTGGCGGATGGAGAGTGGGATCTTAAAGGCATAGGGTCCCAGCTGAGTGGTGACCGTGCTGCCAGGGGCAGAGCAGAGGGTGTCCAGGGAGCCAGCAGGTGTCTAGAAGGGCGGAGGGTAAGAATGAGGGAGTGCGGTGCTGGGCCCTTGCCCCGGGACTGCAATCTCATCCAGCCCTGAGTCACCTCCATCTCCTCTGGGCAGGCGCCAGCTGCCCAGACAAGGGCCCTCGCCCAAGCATCAGTTCCCCGGGCTAGGTCTGCATGGTCAGCCCCAGCTCTCATGGGCTGTCCCCGTGAGGACAGTTAACACACTGCCCTGGGGGAATGCCGATGCAGCCTCACCATCGGGAAGCCCAAGGGAGCTTCAATCGAGTCCACGTGAACTCTTTTTTACACAGGTGGGAAATGAAGTCTAGGAAGGGGAAGTGACTTGCTCCTGGTCACATGCAAAATTAGTGGCACAGCAGTGTCCAGACTAGATACAGAGATCTACAGTGCCCCTAGAGGAGCATCTAGCATTGTCACCCTGGGTGTCTTAGGTTTTTAACCCTCAATTGGATTTACTGTAGTGGAGAGCTACAGGCCTGTCCTTGGGTCTACTGGGTTCGAATCTGGCCTTGCTACTGGTGTATTGTGTGCAAATACCTGCCTTCCCTAAAGCCCACGTTTGCACCTCCTGCAGTGGCGGTGTGTGTGTGGGGTGTGTTCCTATGTCATGTCTGTCTCTAGGAGGTCGTGAAGATTTAGTGAGATAATGTAAGTGCCAGGTACATGCTGAGCCCATGAACGGTATTTTCTAAATGATAGTTGTTAGCAAAAATGGCTGAGTCCTCACTACGACTGGGGAGGTGTGAGAGCAATGCTCTATGGGAGGTGGCATCTCCGCCCAGTGGGGAAGCACAGGGTCTCTGTGCTGCACTGCTCCACCCCTACTGCAGCAGCGCCCCCTGGTCTCACCTCTGCTAGCATGGTGTGCAGCTGGAATATCTGGCCTTCCCCTTCTACCTGCCGCACGCAGATCTTGCAGGTGAACTCTGTGGAGGCCAGGCTATGCCTCTCCAGGGTGAAAGTGCAGTGTAGGGCCTTCTGGCTGCCACTCCAAATGTGATAGAAGGGGATTTCCTGCAGGAAGAGGGGGTCAGGGCCCAGCTGATGAGGCCAGCCTGCCCTGCCCTGGTGAGAACAGGGGGCAGAAGTGGGCAATGGGCCAGATTCAGCTAGGGCTAGGAGACGTAGGGAGGGCTGGGAACTTCGGGGGCAGTTCAGGCCTCTCCACTCAGATGGGCAAAGGACAGAGGACTGGTCAAGAACCCTTATGCTGGCCGGTTGGGGCCATGTCAGGCCCTTGGTTCTAGATAAGGAGGGGGCAAGTGGGGAGAGGCAAGGGTGTTTGCATGAGTGTGCACGTGACTGGGGTTAGGAAGCCTTGTAGACTCAGTGGTGTCCCACACTTGGACTGGGAAGCTTCTGTGAGGGTGACAGCACAGGTACTTATGCATGGGAGTGAGTGATGGGGCAGAAGTGTAAGTGTGACTGTCAGTGACACTGAATTTGGAGATGTGCCTGAGGGTGGCTAGGAACATGGAGCCAGCAATGAAGGAGACACCAGGGAGGGGCACGGCTGCAGGTCAGAGGAAGGAGGCACGACCTGGAGTGAGGAATTGGACCACCCCCTAAGTGGTCCCCTCTCTCCTTTAACCCAGACCCTACCTGGTACTTGGCCAGCAGCTTGCTCCTCCAGTGGGCATGCGGGATGTCGTGGAGGGAGAGGCGCAGGTTGTGGTAACTGTCCTTAAAGAGCAGGGGTTTGGGCTCCTCCACTAGGTAGCCGCCCAGAGTCCGCTCCAGCTCCAGTACCTCCTGTGGGCCAGGGAAAGCTTGTCATACTTGGCCAACGGGCCCTTTTTTGCTGCTAGCTGGGGAGCGGGAACTCATCTGAGCCCAAGGCTATGCATAGTGGCTTGTGGTGTGATGAACAGATGAATGGATGGATGATGGACAGAAAGTGAGACAGAAGAGTGGATGAAAGGACTTATACATCACTGGATGAATGGATGGAGAAATGGATAAATAGGTAGACAGACAGATATAAGATGGGTATAAACAACAAATATAAAAGGAAAGATAAATGAATGGTGCCTGGGTGGACAGGTGGGCTGATGCCTGAGTGTATGTATGGATGGATGGATAGATGAATGCATGCATGGATAAATGAACGGGGATTGAATCAACAAAGAATGCTATCAGGCTAACATCTGGCAACTTCCTTCTTGATCTTCCCATATCATTCTCTGGCCAAAGCTGGACATTAGCTAGTCGCCTAATGCCAAGAGACTCAGGCTGCAGAAGCATTTCCCAGGAGCCTCCCACCTATCACAGCATTTCAGGCCAGTGTCACTCACTCCACCAGGAGACACTCTCCCATAGGCCTTTTCACCTACAGTGTCCACAGTTTGGAGTCTGGGACAAGCCCCATGAAACTGGGAGGCAAAGGAGCTGGAAGGGACAGAGCAGGGATAGGAGAGGTAGGAAGCCACAGGAGGGGACCATGAGGCTCTGAGGAAGGTGGGTGGAAGGAGGGAGAAGTGTTTGCACTCTTCCAGGGCTATGGCAAGATGAGACTAAAGTCCTGGGGACCAGAGGAGGCCAGGGAGGGAAGCAGTGCAAAGGGGCTCTGGGACTGGCAGGGCTGGGCAGGGTTCCATCATCAGGCTGCACGTGATGAAAGTCCCATCCCTCCCTGCTCCAATCACTGCCCACAGCCCCAGCCTTCCCTCACTTAGGACACCACTATTTACATTCCTTTGGATATGCTGGGGGCCCAGCTGTCAGCCTTGACCCCTCTGTCGCCCCTGGCTCATCCCTTCAGTCCTGGTTCTGTCCATTCTATTGATTTAACATGGAATCCAGTCCTGCCTTTCGGCTGCTGCCACTGCCTGTGGCCCAGGGTCCAGCCTCTCCACCTCTCATCCTCCCACCTCTGTGGTGTGGCCACAGAGCTTTCCAAAGAGCATCTGTAAACAGATGTCTTCCAGGTCTATCCTTCCCAGCAGACAGATGCCAGATTCCTTGGCATGGCCCCGAGGCTTGAGGTCCATCTCTCCTGCCCTCACATTCACAGACTTCCATATGCCTTGGTCTCAGGGAGCTACATGGCCGCAGTTCTTGCCTAAGCTCGCTGGCCTGTCTGCACTGCCTTTCACCCCTGTGCAGACAGGCCAGAGAGCTCCTACTTCACCCTCCTACTTTTCAGGGCCCCTCCTCATCAACGTGAGCCACTCCAAGCCTCAGGCTCTCTCATTCCTCTGGCAGACCCCTGGGAGCCTTCAGCCCAGCTCATCTTAAATCTCGAGAGTCTGATGCCTTTCAGTGTGTGAGGGAAGCATGAGTGACTGAATGAGGCTGGTGCATGTGGGGTTGCCTGGGAGGCCCCAGGCTGGGGAGGGGCGCTGGTAGGGGCCCAGAAGCTGGCTGGCCCACCTTCAGTGCCACGGGCGTGTCCTCCAGGCAGTAGACCCGGAGGCTGTATTCCAGGGAGGTGCAGAGGGCAGGGGCAAAGATGGCCAGCTGCAGCCGCTTGACTGCTGAACAGGAATAGGACTCGCCCGTGAGTGCATAGGTGCCCAGCTGGTCCAGCAGGATGTGGCAGGACCTCGCCTCCAGCTGGCAGTAGCAGGGCGTGTTTAGGGTCTCCTCATCCAGGGTCACCACCTCCTGTAGGGGAAAAGCAAAGGGGGGAGATGGAACAGAGCTGGGCCTTCTCTCGCCTCCCCCGGCCTTCTGCACAAGTTTGGAGAGCAGGGCTGGTCCCCGCCTTGGCCCTCACCTCCCAGTGACCCTGGTGGGACTGGGTCTTGAGCTGGAAGATCCAGTCGCCTGCGCTGACTTCAGCACAGTGAGGCACAGTGAGGATGACGGGGCGGCACAGCAGGAGGCCTGTGGGCCCGCAGGTCACCGAGGGGCTCAATACTGTCTGGGTTCCTTCCGAAAGTGGGCTGAGGGCAGGAGGGAGGGCAGGAGAGAGGCAGTGAGGGGAGACCCAAGAAGCTCAGCAAGGATGTGGCCTGCTGGGCTCTGAGTCTGCCTCAGCCTGTGTGGCCCAGGGCAGGCTTCTGGTGCTTAGGGCTCTGAAGAGGTCAGGGGGCCCCAGGAACAGAGACGGTGGTGTGTCCTCAAGGATGTCTCCAGATTTTTGCTATCCACTGCAACATTCATAGCTTAAAATTCTTTGCTTGAATTTTCAAGGTTCTGTATTCTTGGAATGTCGTTGACAGGTGTCGCTAAGGTGTGCTCTGGAAAGTTGGTCCCAGCCTACACTCCTGACAGCATGCCACGGGAGGGCTGTGTTCCCACCCTCTTGCCAGCATGAGGGTGCTACATTTGAAAAGAGTTCTTGCAAATTCCTCAAACAAATACATTACCAACATAGCTCATGGTTGATTCCACTAGTTTTCTTTGACAAAAAATAAGATTGAACATTTTCTCATAACATACTGGCCATTGTATGTGTGTGCGCCTATGTGTCAGAGTATGTATGTGTGTGAAAGAGAAAGTGTGAATCACTTGTTAGTATCCTTTATTGTTTCCATACTGGGATATTCACTTTTTCTTATTGGTCTATAAAATCTCTTTATGTAGCAAGGATATTTAACCCTTTGTTATACCTGCAGCCAGTTTATCAACTGCCTTTCAATTTTATGATTTATGGTGTTGGTTTTGTAAGTTTTAAATGTGGACACAGTAAGATCAATGTTCTCCTTGGAGGACTGTCGCTGGCCTTAGGCCTGGACTAGGAGGTGGCAATCCTAGAGCCCAGTGTGGACAGGCAGCAGGGGGAGAGAGAGAGGGAGGAGGACAGCCCTGGCCACGGCTGGGTCTCTACTCACAGGGTGTTTTCTGCCTTGTTGATGAGTAGGTACATCTCGTAGAACTTGCCCTGGGGAATGGCTCCATTGGGCACCAGAAGGCTGACCCCTACGGGGAGAGAAAAACATCTCCTGAGCTCCAGGTGGACACCAGCTGCGGTAGAGACAGTCTAAGGACTGGATGTGAGGACAGTTCAGGCCAATGACCAGAGCCCATATGTCCAGTAAAACAGGGGCCTCTGACATTGCTATGGGGTTTGGAGGTCCCGGTGACAGCTTCATCCCAAGCTCAGTGTATGATGCTGGGGTGCTGTCAGTTGCTGGCTGTGCAGCCGAAGAGGGGCATACCTGCCCCCCTGCTGCTGGTTAGTTGAGCTACATAATGTTCTTCTTGCTCACATAACCAATAGAGAAACTGAGGCTTAAAGGACAACTGGCCCAAGGTTACCCTGTTCTAGTGAGGGCACAGGCAGCCTGAACCTCATTAGAACTTCTCATTAGACCACTCTATTTTATAGTCACTCCATGACCCTGGATCTTCTGTTTCACCTATGCAATGGATTCAGGGGAGCCCCATCTTTTGCTGGGTGGGTGCTGGGGCATCCAGGAAGAATGTGCTGAGGCCAGGCCTGTGAGCAAGCAGGGCAGGGGCCCACCTGTGCCGGGGATGCTGAGCCTCCCGCCCAGACAGCCAAAGGTGCTGCTGACACTGCTCCCGGGGTCTCGGGGCAGGCCCAGGAGCTGCTGGGAGCCCACACTGGCACTGCGCAGGTGCAGGAAGTGGGCATCCGGGGTAAAATCGCCAGGGTACGGGCCAGATGGCAGGACCCCCAGCAGGTCGGCCCCATCTGGCAGGCCTGGTCCAGAGCCTGTGGTGCTAGAGCTGTAGGCCTTGACCTTGAGGCTGGGCAAGGGGTCCAGCAGGGGTGAGTTGGTCATAGGGATCTTGTCGGCGGAGTCCTGCAGGGCGTACATGGGTCCGCGGTAGATGCCAGCACTGGCGGTCAGGTCGGGAGGCATAGACGGGTGCAGGAGCTGCGGGTTGCCTGCAGGAGTGAGGGCTGCAGTCAGGCCCAGCCATGCCTCACAGGCCTAGCCTCACCTATGCTCCTGCTGGAGTGTCCTGTTGTAAAATGCCGCCCAAAGGCTCTATGGCCGCCCCTCTGAGAGGATCTGGGGCTACTGTCCCTGTATTTCTCTCATCCATATCTACCCACACAGTCATCACTTGGGCACTCCTGGGAAAGCCTGGGGAGAGGATTAGGAGCCCCAGGTCTGGTCTGGCTGCCCTAAGGTGACCAGACATCCCACTTTTGGTGGGACAGTCCCAATTTTTAATAATTTTTCCCACGTCCCGTAGCATTTTTAAAAAGTCCTGATTTTTGGAAAGAATGCATGACAAGCTAGGGAACAGTGTGACAATGGGAAGGGAATATACAGTTTTCAGCTGCTGAAAAGGTTAATGTAACTCCATTTGGAAATGAAAAGGCTAATATAAACTCCCTACTCCCCTCCTGGGCAAGGTTGCCCAAGTGGACCTGTGCCCTACTCCTTTGAGCTACAGGTGCCGTCCTATACATATTTTTTTTTTAATGTATTATATTTGTAAATTGTACTTATGTTGAAATTAAAAATATATATATTAAAATACTTTTTGCATTCTATGAAAATTTTTGTTGCTCCATATAGACCAAATTTTTAATTAAGAACCACCTCCCTCCGTCAATGGTATCCCACTTTACCAATGTTAAAATCTGGTCACTTTAAGCTATCCCCATGGTTCTCTGGGTGTCCCCCCTCCACTTAACACCTAAGATTTCCTCAGGTCCTCACCAGGCCTCACAGTCTTGAAGTTGACCGGGTGGAAACCACTTGTCAGGGCGGCGGATGAGTCGGTGATGTCAGTGTCAAAATCACGGCAGTTGCGGCGGTATACCACCACCCCCACCACCATGAGGACAGCCAAAACCACGAAGATGGCCACCACAAGGCCCGCATACAGCGCCACATCCCCCGAGGCTTCCAGCACTGTGGGAACAGGAGGCCGTGTGAGGGACAGAGCAGAGACTAAATCCCTGGGGATGGGGAGAGTCTGGGCCTGTCTGCCTGGTCTGAACTCTACCACTTTGGGCACACCTTGAACTTCTCTGAATGTCAGTCTCTACAGATAAAATGGCCCCAAGGCCCCTGTCCTACCACCCTCCCAGGGTGGCAACGAGAGGCAAGAGAGCACAGTTCACCCCCGCCAGCTAACTCACTGAGGAGGGAGTGACCTGTGCTCACTCACTGACTCACTCACTAGGGCAATTTACACCTACAGAACCTTACTCCGAGCCTGCTGCAATTTCCATAGGCTCCAAACTCCCAGCTCCCGAGCATCTTTGCAAATAGCCACTCTGAGCTCTTGCTCCATTCCCTGCTCTGAGGGTGGCAGGTGGGGGTGGGAGTGGAATGACATGCACAGCGATGGGATGGAGAGGGATGAGCAGGTGGGGGGACAGGCCCAGGGAGGCAGCCCATGGCTACACTCTCCTTCCCCAGGCAGACAAGGCCAGGCAGGAAGTGTGGAGGTGGGAGAAGCAGGGCCTGAAAGAGGGCTGTTGTGTAGAACTTTCTATGGTGACAGAATATTCTACGTCTGCACTGCCCTGTATGCAGCTGCTAGCCACCTGTGTTTATAGAACAACAGAATTATGGCTGGTACAACTACAGAACTTAATTTTTAATTTAATTTTTATTTTTTAGAGACACAGACTTGCTCTGTCACCTGGGCTAGAATGCAGGGGCATCACTGTAGCTCACTACAACCTCCAACTTCTGGGCTCAACTGATCCTCCTGTCTCAGCCTCCTGAGTAGATGGGACTATAGGTATGTGCTACCACACCCAGCTAAATTTCTCATTTTTTGTGTAGAGATAGGATCTTACTAGGTTGCCCAGGCTGGTGAATTTTTAAAGCTTGATTTTAATTAATTTAAATGTGAGCATCAATAGCCAATGTGGCTAGTGGCTGCCATACTGAACAAGCTAGGCAGAGCTGCTCCTCCTCCAGCTTCCTTTGGGAGCTCCAGAAGGCACCTGTCACACTTTCTCCTGGGGTCCTTGAGGAGCAGGTCTGCGTTCTCTGCCTGGCACCCTCCAAGCCCCTGCACTGGGGTCAGCACGAGACCGCGGCAAGGCAGAGCATGGCTCCCAGCCCTTACAACTGTCCACTTCTGCCCTCTACCTGTCCCCTCTATCTCTCCTCAGCAGCCCTCACTCTTGGGCTCCCCAGAGGACCCTGGCATACACCAGAGCTGTCGGAGAAGCCCCTCTGGGCTAGGCTTTCGCATCTCTGGAGGCTTCCTGGCTTGGCTCTGCCTTGCTGACCCTGGGCCATTTGTCTGGTGATTTATGTTCTCTAATCAGTCACCAGCCTGGCCCCCAGTGGGCTGGGCTGAGGTCCTCACTGCTGATTTTATGTTTCCACAATTATTTGGAAATTGTGGTTTAATTACCACAGGGCAATTTGCCGAAGCAGCTTTATTGCTCTGATGTTACTGCAGTGGCTGGGCGGCCCCTCGGGGCTGGAAGGCGAGCCCCTGGGGAACTGGCGCAGTAGTGGGCATCACAGACAACTAGGGAGGCCTGGCTCAGCTGCTAGGAGTACCAGTGAGGGGTACTGGGGCAGACTCGTGTGATGCTGCCCTTGGCCCTATACCAGAAAGGGAGACTAAGGGCATGGGGTTAAGAGCACTAGCTTCAGCCTTGAAAATATTGGATTTAAATCCTGGTTCTGCTGTATCCTGGCCGGGTCTTTAGCACGTCCATTCTCTCTGAGACTCAGATTCCTCTCCTGTAACAGGAGAGTCAGCAGGGTATCCTAAGGCCTTTCTGTCAGCCGGGGCTCTGCTGGCTGTCCATGGCAGAGGACACGGACACATCAGCATCAGATGCGAGGGATCCCAAGGGGCACGGGTATACGGGGGCACCTTTTACTGTCCCTACCATGTATCCCACACCCAGGAAAGCCAGCCAAGGAGAACCAGGGATCCCAGAGGAAAGAGGACAGCCATGAAATGGGACTTACGGTGGCTTTTGGGGTCGCTTAGAGTTTTCTTATCTGTCGAGGGAAATAAAGGGAAAGACAATGACACAGATGACAGGGAAAGGGTGTGATGAGATGATGATGTGATGAGTGGGCAGGGGCCCCGCAATCTGCTCTATTGCAGGCCGGGCACTGGGACCTGGGGCTTGGTGGGGGTGGGGCCCTTACCTGGCTTAGAGTCCCAACTCCCAGGGCTCTGCCTCCCTGAGGACTCACTTTGCATGCACAGCCCGTCCGTGCAGTTCTTGGAGTCCAACAGCATCCCGCTGCAGTCACGGCCTCCGTTCTGGGGCGGCGGCGCCATGCATTCACGGCTGCGCCAGTGGGCACACTCAGTGCTGCAGGCCGACCACTTGCTCCACTCCGTCCACGCGCCATCAACTGTAGGAGCATGGCACACAGGAACCCATGCATGTATACAGACGTGTGCACACCCCGTACGTGTATAGAACACAGTGACACACAAACATGTGTGTACATGCACATGTGTACATGCCGTGGCGGGGAAAGATGAACCCAGGACACATGGGTGTCACACAGGGAAATCCCCACCATAGCCACATGGCCCCATGTCAGGGAATAGCCAGGTACATGAAGTCAGTGACATAGATACAACCCCATACACATGGTTCACACGAAGACACCCCGGTAAAAACACCCCAGCATCCACAGGAACATATAACACAGAGATGAGCAAGGGTAGACGGACAGAGGAACACACACAGAGAGAAGGCAGAGGACGGTCAGAGGATGAGGGCTGTGTCCGAGCTGTGAGAGGCTCTCCTTGACCCTGGGTAGCTCTGAAAGCCTGGCCTGGGGCTGACGCTGAGAACCCTCTGTTAGGGAAAAGAGGCCACGCTTCAAACTGAAGTGCAAAGCTTCTGCCTGCCATCTCACAGTGGCCCTGGGCAAAGTGAGAGGTCAGAGCATCTAACCCAGAGTGGAAGGTCAGCTATGGGCCTGGGATAAGCACCTTCTGCTCCCCGTGCTGGGGACAGAATGGCAATCCTGGCTCTGGCACACACCACAGGAGGTGAGGTGGGGCTGGGCATGGGCAGTGTGCCACCTGGCCAGTGGCCCTTACCTGGGCACACGGTGGTGCAGGCAGTCTTCTGGAAGGCCTGGCCCTCACAGAAGGCACCTCCGTTGAGTGGGGTAGGGTTGGTGCAGGTCCGGGTGCGCTTCTGCCAGCCTCGGCCACAGCGGTTGGAGCAGGGTGACCACTCTGCCCAGCTGGACCAGCCACCATTCACTGTAGGGCGGCAGCTGTCACTCGAGTGTCCTGGCTCTGGTGCTTGCTGGCTTTCCAAACTCATCCCCCACCCTTGATGAGGACCCTCTGCTGAGGCTTGGGCCTGGCGCTGGACCCTCCTGACTTCAGGGCTCAGCACTCAGATACCAGCAGGCAGACCTGGACTGCAACTGTGAGCAACAGAGGGGACCCGGGAGGCCATTGTCTATTCCCTACCCCATTGTATGATGGCAAATGAAGGTCCAGAGGGGTCACCCTGTGAGTGATGAGGCCTGGGACTGGGCCTGGAGCTGGAACCTAGCACAGGGCTCTTTCTATAACTGTCAAGTGACCCACCCATGGGCCCATGGGGGCCACAGAGAGTAGCTTACAGGCCTGGATACTGGTCTCTACCTCTGCTGGGACAACAGAGGGGTTGGATATAGGGTTCTGACTGGGTTCTGTCTTAGCCCCCTGTCTTGGAGAGAATTGGGCCTTTTCCTTCAGAGATGGGGTGGGGGGTGGTGGTCTGAAGACGCAGGGAGGCTCTTGGCCAGGGACCCAGGAATACCTAACTTAGCCACTAATCTTGCAGTGTTGGGACCTTGGTTAATTCCTCTCCCCGCTGGCTACATCCTCCCCGCTGTCCAGGGGTCTTACTGGCCTACTAGTAGCTGGTATCAGGTGGGGCCTCCCTCCCTCCCTCCCTCAGCTGTGCCTGCCCCCACTGCGTGATGCCCGCACCATAGACAATGACTGTCGCGGTGGTGCTCCGGCGTTTGGCCACAATGTTCTTAGCCACGCAGGTATAGTTAGCTGTGTCCAACAGGCGGGCCTGGCGGATGATGAGGTTGTGGTCGATGGTGATCAGGAAGTTGGTGTCTTGGGTGGGATCAATGACGTCCTCGTTCTTGAGCCATTCTACCTGTAGGAGTGAGGATGTGGGTAGTGAGGGCCTGGGGCGTGCCCACCCACATCCTGGGGAGCAGGCTGCTGTGGAGGGGATGGGGCACATAAACAGAAGACTGGCAGTTGTACCTGGCTGGGTCCATACCCCTGCAGGGACAGTGAGGAAGAACCCCACAGGACTGGGCACTGTGCCAGGTATTGTGTAGCACCTTTGCCAACTGGCCTCAGTTGGGGCCTCAAGCTCATCACTGTTGTGAGTAGTACATGTGTCCTGAGAACAGGGCCTGGCTCAGGGCGAGTTGAGTTTAGCTAACCAAACAAGTGGTAGCTCATTGTCAGCTGCAGGCCCTGCTTTCTTCATTAACTCCTCCAACCAGCTCCACTTGCCAGGGCGACAGGGCTGGTGGGTGACCAGCAGAATGCTCACTGGGTCTGGCCAGCTTTGCCACATAGCTGCCACATGGCCACTTCCCCCTCCTAAGCTGCTGCCCAGCCATAGGACAGGGTTACAATGTCTACCCTGCAGGGCTGCTGTGGATACCAGTGTGCTTGGTGCCACATGAGTAGGAGGGAGCCCATGAGTGGCAGCTACCACACGGGTGTTGTCTGAGCCCCTTGTGCAGATGAGGGCTTGGGCTGGGGGTGGCTAAGTGAAGAGTGCAAGTTTTAGGGAGTGAGACAGGGCTGATCCCAATCTGTGAGCCTGGGCTTCCCCAGGCTCTTCTACAGCCCCTGTTCCACTGGGATCTCCAGGGCAAAGCTGAGATGTCCCCCAGGCCAATGTCTGAATCCTGGCTCCCAGTTTAGGGAGCATGTCTGAAGAAGAAAGAGTGGTAAAAGGGGACAGGACACTCCAGAGGCCGTGTGGTGAGGGGAAGAACATCAGTTTGTGGGGTAAGAATACACTCAGGCACACGGGTTATGAGACCCTTTGGTGTCCATAAACTTGGGACCCTGGGTTCTAGGCAGGGCAGGGGGAGGCAGAGGCTCTGCTTCATCCCTTGGGGTTATGTCTGGGGAGGGTCTAGGTATGAGCTGACAAGTGCCAAGTTCTACAGAAGTGGCTGTTCCTTTCTCTGTTTTTAGTTTCAAGTTTCCAGTCTGTGAAAGGGGGGTAGGGGGAGCTCCAAGAGACTAACAGTAAATAATATGTTACCCGGTCTCCGCTCCACCATGCCTAGTGCTGCCTATGTCCCTGCTCACCTCGGCCATAGGCACCCCTTCCGGTGGGCGGCACTGCAGGAGAACCTCATGGTCCAGGGGCACCTCCTTGCCCAGAGGCTCCTGATCGAAGTTCTTGCGCAGGTCTGGGAGAAGTGAAAAAGTCCCAAGACAGTCAAGAGGGTAAGGGGGCAGCAGAACTTGAAGTTCCCCAATGTGGCCACTAGGTGGTGGTACACACCAAGGGAGCTGCTGATGGGGCCACCTGGTCTTCACCAGGAGCACCTTCTCCTCTCCAAAGGAGGCCTCACTAGGAGGACTTGGGGCATCCTAACACGCAGTGACCCAGGATGGGTGAGGAAGCTGCCAGCTTCCTTTATATAGACATAAGTGGAAAAGGGCCATTAGGAATGGTGGGGCTGGCCTAAGGGCCCTCTTCTGAGCTGGCATCCCCATGCCTAGATGTTCTCAATTGAGGATGCTGGAGGAGGGGCCCACAGATGCCAAATTCCCTCTCCAGCACCCACAGGGAAGCGGAAGGGCCCCGGGGAGGGTGTCAGCGTAGCATACAGGCGATGCGGACGTAGGCCCGGCGACTCTTGGTGGTGCCTGCAGAGCTCCAGGCCACACACTGGCACCAGTAGTCCTCCAGCCCAAAGAGCTCCTCCACCTGCTGCCGGGAAACCTCAATCTGCACCTCGCGCACCCGCAGGCCTGGGGGAGAGAGAGCCGTCAGGGGGGCAGCTGGGGGTGCCAAGCTCTCTCCTTTCCACCCCGAGGCCTGTTGGCTCTTCTGTCAAAGTGCCTCTTGTTTCCATCAGTTGGTTTTGTCTCCAGTCTTCTGCCTCTGCTCCACCAGGGCCACTCCCTTGGACACTGCAAGGGTTAACACCAGCCTCTGTCCCCTCCAGCTCACCTCCCACCTGGCAGCTAGAGTGTCCTCTTCCAAATGCATAAACGGCATGTCGTTCCTCCCTGCAGAAGACCCTTTGTGCTGGATCTCAGCATAAGGACCCAGAGCCGGTGTGTGATCATCCCACTGAGGACCCTGCAGCCGTATGGTATATCTACTTTCCTCACCCACTTTCCCCACACTTCCCTGGGCACCTTCCAGTCTCTCACCTTCCCTGGCTCTGCAGCTGCAGGGCTGCTGCATATTGGTCCCCTGCATGAAACTCTCTTCTGCCCCCTCTATGCCCAGTGGACTCCCAGTGACCATCTGCTTTTGGCTTAGCCTTAATTCCTGAGTGAAGCCTCCTCCATTCCGTACTCAGCCCTCACAGTGCCACTTGGTGCTCCCACCACTGCCCTGGACAACTTGTCTATACAGTTATCATCCCTGTACCCGGCTTCTTTTCCTCCCTATTGCACTATTGCACCAACCACTCTCTAGACCCAGATTATTTATTGGCATGTTCAATGTATTTGTCTCCTGCAGGGGAACAAGGTGGGGCTTTGTCCGGCTTGCCACTGTGGCCCAGGGCCTGGCACAGAAAAGGGGCTCAGCCTGCATTGGAAGTATGACACTAACCTCTCCCTGGACACCTCAGGAGCCTGTGGCACTGGAGCTGGGGGTATTCCTTCTTCTTGGGAGCCCCCTGATCTCTCAGTGACCTGGGCACTCCCTGCACAACTGAATCCACCAGCTTATGGGGAGAGGAGTCCTCTATCACCCTCCCTCAACAAAGCCTTCTACACTCAAGAAAGGAGTGAATGTGCCTGGATTAGGGTGCTCATTTCAATCTCCTCCCCACGGCTTGGGGAGGGTGGTGAGGCCTTTCCCTCTAGGAGGCCTCGTTGATTTTCCAAAGCTTCCTCCTTGCCATGATGTGTTCTATCTCATCCTTTCATTGCACAGGCATTGTTAAGCCCCTTGAGGGCAGGAGTGCACAGAGTGTGGTACTGCGGCACAGTGGTTACGGGGAGGGTTGGATGGCTGGACAGGGTTGAATCCTTTGCTCCCCAGCTGCGTGGCCTTTGCTAAGTTACTTAGCCTCTCTAAACCTTAGTTCCCTCATCATAGTAAACACTCAGGGTAACTCTGCGTCATGGCAATTGCTCTGCCACATCACCCAGCCCAGGCTGGATGCAGATTTATTCTGGCAAGTCACTGGACCTCATCCAGCTTCTTCCTTTTACATTTGGAGAAACTGAGGCCCAGAGAAGGTAGGTGGGGGTAGCGGAGGTCAGCTGTCTGGTGTCTTGCCCAGGTTAGAGTTCTGTCCCCTAAACATGATGCCTTTGGACCTCTCCCAGTGTAGTCACTGCATCATCAGGGAGGGTGGGGTCCTGGCACTGGGGACCCAGACAGTGAGAACAGCCCTATCCTAATGGCCACAGAACTAAACAGAGGCAGCTGGTGGGTTGCCATGGAGGGAAGAGGCCGCTTCAGGGGTGTGTGGCTGTGCCTGCCCTTTGTGGCTGCCTGGAGGGCCAGTTCCATCTTCGATTCTGGGGGCCCAGATAGCAGGGACTTCTACCCCTTATTTACTGGGTTGTAAATCTGGGAGAGTGGTCCCTGTCTAAGGTTGCAGCAGTACCCAACAGCTGGACAGAGGGAAACCATCACTCAGGGAGGCTTGAGACCTTGTCCATGGTCACCAAGAAGCAGAGATTCAGAGACGGGAAGGACAAGGTCTTTGTTCTCCCAGATCACAACCTTGACCCAGCACCAGGTTGTGATCCCAAGCACGGCAGTGCTGGGAACAAGCTAGTAGATGGGCCTGTCCCAGCTGTGCTGGTCCCCAGCTGTGCTCCTCTGTGTTTTCAGGGCCTCAGAGGAGGGCCGGGGTCGGTTGGGGCTGGAAAGCAGGGGGCTGAAGTGGAACCAGGCCCAAGGCTGCCAAGGGAGCCCTGTCCATTATTTGCAGCTAATGGAGACAACAGTGCCCCAATTTCTAGGGCTGGCAGAGCCTGTGTGCCTGGTAGCAGGGGAGTAAGAGCCATGCTATTACTAATAATCACGGGGTTATTATTACTATTACTAATAAGCTGTGTGGGGCCCAGCAGGCACACAGCTTCCTTGCTTTGCCTGGACCCCCATGGCTGGCTTCTGATACAGGCCAGAGGGACTCAGGGGACAGAAGTTAGGACTGTTGTGAAAGACAGAGAGAAAGAGGCCAAGAAGGAGGACAGAGGAAACGGGCATTTATCGAGTGCACGCTGGGTCCTGGCACTCTGCTCAGCACTGCACATGCTCCGCCTCATTCCACCCTCACCAGGACATTCTGTTAACCCCTGAGTTTACAAAGAGAGGGGCTGGGGCTCAGAGAGGTTAAGTGACTTCCTCAGGGTCACACAGCCAGAGAGTGGAGGAGCTGGTAAATACAGTGTTTGGGCTTTCTATATTTGTCTTTAAAAAATTTCTTGTTTCATGTTTATATTTCAGGTGAGAACAAGACTCCAAATCTATTTTTAAAAGCTATTTTAAAATTGTGGTAAAGTACATATAACGTAAAGCTCGCCACTTTAACCATTTTTAAGCATATAGTCAGTGGCCTTAAGTACATTCTGGGGTGCGGTTTTAAGCCTGAGTGGTTCTGACATCTGTAAGCTTTTCGTGGCAAAACAGAAATTGGAGGAAGAAAGGAGAGAAAGGGAGATAGAGAAAAGGAAGAAAAGTGGGAAAGAAAGAAAAATACAAGGAAAAAGGACAGAGAGAAAAACATACAGAGATAAAAAGGGAGAAACGGGAGAAGAGAGGGCAGGGCTCAGGAGCCACCAAGCCTGGGGTCATCTGGGGCTCCCCTCAGCCGGCTGTCTGCCAGGGCACTAGAAGCGGAATGTCCTACCGCCCTGCCCTGACCCCTGGGCAGTGGTTTCCACCCCTGAGGGTTTCTGCATTGTAAACAGGGGCCTGGTGACCAGTGAGCCCCTCACTTAGACGAGGGGGTGCTATTGGGGCAGGCCCAGCCTCTGGGAGATGTGAGGAGACTCAGGACTCCCCACCCACCTCAGAAGGAAGGGGCCCTGTACTTTCTCCCTGTTCCTCGAGTTCCAGCCACTCTCCTTTTCCCCTCTAGATTGGGGCTGCAACCCAGCCCTACCTGTATGATATTTTTAACATTATTAACCTTTTATTTTTTAACCCCAAACAATTTATTTCTATACGGGAAATGCCGTATCATTATTGTGAGTGGAAAACAGCCTCCCGTTCCACAAACAGAAGGGACCTGTAAAAATAACCATGGCACTGAATTCTGGGTTGGCGCCATGGGGTGCCAGGGCTGCGGGACAGAGGCCTGGCCCCCTTTGTTAAGCAGGGATATCAGCAGGTGTCTGGGAGGGCTAACGAATCCTAGTTCCCTAAGCTAACTTGCTCCCTGAGGGGAAAGTGGAAAAGGACTGAGCGCTCACCAGGGGGTTTGGTGCTATTTAATGCGTGGCAAAGTGTCACTTAAAGCCAGGCTGGGACAGGTGGCCAAAATTTAGGAAACTGAGGCCTGGGGCGCCATAGCTCTGTGAAGTCTCACGTGGAGCCCAATCCCAGGACCCATGTTCCCCTGCACCTTTGGACCTGGGTGTCACGGGAGTGCCTGGACAAGCAGAGGGCTCACCGGTGGCCTCATCCAGGCCCTCCTGTGTGACATGGTCATTCTGGCTGACCCAGTCGCCGTTGCACTTGAAGTAGATCTGTGTGGCGGGGGAGGCGCGACAGCGCAGCTCCACGGGCTTGTTCTTCACGATGTAGGCATCCTGCGGCTCCTGCAGGAAGTGCGGCAGGGGCTCTGCGGGTGCCGACGGGAAGGAGTCAGGGAGCACCTCGGAGTCAGTGCCTGCAGGGGAAGGGAACACTGAGGCTGCAGGCTGGGATGCCCCCCTCGCTCCCTGACCCCCCCGAGGGCCCACCCCAGAGGAAGACCTGCTGGGATGTGCTCTGCAGCCTGGGCCAGGTCTGGCACTCCTGGGCCCCTGCATTTAAGAGCTCGGGCTTTAGAGCCAGTCCCAACTCTGTGATGCGGTGTGATTCTAGTTTACAGCTGGGGATACCAGGGAGGCCAGAGAGGTGAGGTGACCTGCCATGGGGATATCCCTCTGGCCCCCACTGTCCCCTGCACTGGCCCTGCTCCAGTTCTCTGTGGTGATGTCACAGGTAATGTGCTGGGGCTCGGCGCCTGTAGCACAGTGGTTACTGCGCCAGCCACATATACCCAGGCTGGTGGGTTCAAACCCAGCCTGGGCCAGCTAAACAACAATGACAACTGCAACAAAACAAAACAAAAATAGCCAGGCATTGTGGTGAGCACCTGTAGTCCCAGCTACTTGGGAGGCTGAGGCAAGAGGATCATATAAGCCCAAGAGTTTGAGGTTGCTGTGAGTTGTGATGCCACGGCACTCTACCAAGGGCAACATAGTGGGACTCTGTCTCAATAAAAAGGAATGTGCTGGAAGAGGGGCTGAGGCTAGAACTCAAACGGGGCTGCCCTCTGTAGCCCAGGATAGCCAGGATGATGAAGCTGAACCTGGAGATGAGCTGACTACACAGGGCTTGGGCTCCCTAGTGCACTGTCCCCTACAGGCCTCCTTAGAGGGGAGGCCTCCTTCCCAGCAGCCTCCAGCCAGAGCCTCCTCTGGTTTGTGGCTCTGATCCATCCCTTAACCTTAACCTCCTCTGCCTTGGCCAAATCCACGCCCTCAGCACCATGGGTGAGGAGACTTCAGAGAACATAGAGGGGCTGTGACAACAGCAGTCTCTTCCCAGAGGGGTCACATGGAAATCCTGGTCTGCCCGTGTCCCTGGAAAGAACAGCCCCTCAGGAGGGGAGACAAACAGGAAGGGAGGGGCCGGCTTCCACGGGCAGGGACGGAGGGGAAAGGCCAGGCCAGGCCTTTGGTTTACAATCCACTTGGGAAAACTGACTTTCCAATGCCAAATGCCAACTGCTCAGGTGGCTGGGGACAAACTGTGGGGGCTTGTCCTCCTCTGCTCACCAGAAAAAAATAGTGAATTAAGCTGTGGGGGTACACATGTCTGCCCAGCCCCTCAAGCCAGAGAGCCTGACTGGAGCAGAGGGTGAGGGAGGTGTCCCCAATAAGCCTGATGGCCACTGGCATCATGCACTTGTTCCCAAGTCTAGGAAGCCACTCTTGGCCCTAGGGAGTCCTCATATAGGCTGAGGGACCAAGGGGACCTCCTGTCTTCCAAGAGCAAAATGAACAAAACATGCCTGACCGTGTTTTCTTTTTGTGAACTAGGAGACCCTGCTAAGATGGGGCAGCTCAGAGAGAAAATGCACGAATTATCACCGGCTCTGGGCTTCAGGCTACGTAGTGTGTGTGGGAGAACTAGACAGAGCTGGGAGGGAAGGGGAAGCCAGCAAGGTGGAGTGACTCCAGCTCCCTCCAGCATGTTCTCTGTGCCCTTAATGCCTGCCTTATTTCATCTCTGAAGAGGGGAGGGAAGTGAGCACCTTGCCCTCTCTCTTTGCTGCCCTGAGAGGGGGCCTGGCACGGAGTAAGCACGTCTTGCAGCATCAAAATTAACTCACGCTTACCTAGCATCGGGTGCTATGTTTTCAGTACCTAAATATCTAATTCTCGCAACAACCCTGTAAGGTATGTTCTATTGGTCCCGTTTTAGAGATGAGTAAATGGAGGCTCAGAGAGGTGAAGCAACTTTATCCAAGGTCACACAGTTAGCAAGAGGCAGAGCCAAGGTTTAAACCTGAGAAACAGACTTTAGCTTTTGGGAAATTGCCCCAGACGCCACACTGCCCTCACGATGTAGCTCTAACATTGTGGGTGTATTCACACCAGAGAATCTTAACAGCACCCAGACACTGGCCAGGGCACGCTCATCAAAGGGCTGGCATCACTGTCCTTCTCATTTCAAAGTGAGGAAGCTGGAGACCATCCAAAGGGGGCCAGGGAGTTGCCCGGGGCCCCCTGTTAGTGGGCAGCTAACCTGGGAAGGGCAATGAGGATTCCTGAGGCCAGGCCAGGACACCCACGTCCCTTTGCCAGGTAGGGAGACAAAGTTCTCTGCAGGCAAACGGACAATCTCCTAGGGTCTGGGAGCTTGGGGAGTTGATGGAAGATGACACAGTGACATGATTACAGGTCTGGGGGCTGGACACTGGTTTCTAGTGGCCTGAGAGCTGGTCACTGTGTCTACCATGAGTTAGCCACTGTGGCCTCCCCACCAGGCCAGACAGCTCTGGGAGCACAGGAGGGAGCTGCGAGGGCTTCTGGGCAGCAGAGAACTGCTAGGCTCCAGGCCTACCTCCCCCCACCAACCTCTTGCCTATCTCAGCCTCAAGGTGATGAAGCTGACTCAGGCCTCAGACTCAGACCAGTTCTGAACTGGGCCTTTGCTGGCCCCGGGCAGCTTGTCTATGAAGTAGGGGGAGGGGACAGGCCTCCTATGGGGCCATAAGAAAAGGGACATGGGAGCCCGTGGTAGCACATAGTGTGCCCACTCCTATCTTCTAACCACACCTCTGCTAGGCCCCAAGTGACGGCTGCCCCCGTGCTCTGAGGCACTGCAGGCTGCATTTATGACTTGTTTTATAACCCTAATGCAGCTCATTTATAAAGCAGGCGCAGACATGACCGAGGAGAGCAAACATTAGAGACATCCATTAGTGCCGTGGGCCTGTGTCCGCAGTCCTGCCACCCCTCCCTCCCCGCCCTGCTGTTCATCTCAGGCCTGGCACAGAGATCTGTCTCTGGCCTGGGTGGGGACTTGGGCTGAGTACCCCCTTGGTGCACCCTGTCGTGTCCCCACACCCCAGGCACCCTGGAGGCAGACACGGCCAGGAGACAAAGATAAAGAATCAGAGGCTGACCTGAGATTCCTGCCTAGAGGGGCCACGGGTGGGCTGTGTACCAGCCAGCATGCAGTAGGTGCATAAAGAATGGAATTACCTGCAGGGTTGCGAGTGTGGGCAGGGGCCAGTGGACTGCTGAGCCTGGCCCCTGCCCTCTCTTCTCCTTGCTCCGGCTGGGGGCCAGTGGGTGAGGGAGGCTTGGCCAGTAGGCTCTGTGGGTGCCAGCTTAGAGGGAGAACACCCCACTCTTGGGGTTCCTGGATGTATAATCTGCCAATCTCTGCTCAGAGGGTGTTTCATATTAACTTGGTGAGCCCCATGATAACCCTAGAGAGAGATGCCCAAACTGTTCAGTTCTTTAGTGTCCTAGTAATTTTGTCATGGTATCCCAAGGCCAAAAATAAATTCCTAATAGGAACTCACTAAGTAATTAGACCCAAATAGCTTCATAAGTCTTTACATCCTAAAAGCTTAGAATCAATAGAAAGAAAAAAGAATATTTTTATCCCATTCCTAAATAGGCACCATGACTTACTAACGGGGACGTGTGCACCCACTGGGCACTGTGCAGCTTCTCCAACTTTGGAATCAGAGTAGACACCGTCACCCTTACTGTTGGTTGTGGGGCATTCCTGAATGCTAAAATCCCAGCTTTGCAAAGCTATGGTGCCAAATAAAGGAAAGTAGAGTGATACGGTGTTGAAACAGTGAGTACCATGAGCTAGTAGTCGGAGTGATGTCTGACAGCTGTCCAGTATTGCTGTGTTCCTTTTGAAGATTATAAAATATCCCATAGTGGCCCCTGCGAATCTGTTGTGGCATCCTGGGGTAACGCAGCACACAGTTTGGAAACCACAGCCCTTGCATTTAGATACTATTTTTAGCCCCATACTAAACAGACAAGGAAACTGAGACCAAAAGCGTTTACATAACTGGCACAGGGCTATGACACTAGTGAGTAGCAGAGCCAGGGGAGGTTATCTGATGCTAGAATCTGTCTTCTGAACTCTCTGAACTGGAAATTAGCATTTATGTACACTCTGTACCAGGTGCTTTCAGCATTTCATATTATTTATTCCTATCTTCCCATTTTATAGATGAAACACGGGGCATATAGGGACATGAAGGGTCACCTAGCCAAGGGGGAGGAAGCCAGCCTTGAAGCCATATCTCTTGACCCCCTGCCATCCTGGCTGCCCTAGAGCTGTCCTTTCTTGGCTCCATCTTTATAGAGGAGCAACTCCTGGGAAGGGCTCCCCAGACGGCCACATCGGGATGGATCTCCCGCTGCAGGAAACTTTCTCACATGTAGTGGCCCAAGTTGTACAAAATGCAACCTACCGTTAAAGCCATACAAGAATGATATGAAGGATATAAGAAAGCCGTACAAGCTATCTCAGGATGAAGGTAAGAAAGAGGAGTCGTCCCTACACACATCACTACAGCACAAGCTCAGGAAAAGAATGCCGCTGAAGTCAGGAGGCCGGAGTTGGCATCCCAGCTGGGGGCTAAGGCACCCCATGACCTTTTCTCCCTCAGGCCTTGGAGTTCCCACCGCAAAATGAGGAGGTTGGCATGAAGTCAGCCTCCCAGGCCCTAACACTTTCAGATTTTAAGACCCCTGAACATGTGTGAAAGTGTCCTTCTGAGTCAAGTTTTTCTTCATAAAGTACATGTGCTTATAATAGGGTTACCTTTTTTGCCATTTGGTATTCCTGGCTTAAAAAGTCAGGACAGGTTAGGAGCAGTGGCTCATACCTGTAATCCCAGCAATCTGGGAGGCCAGGGTGGGAGGATCACCTGAGAGTAAGGGTTTGAGGTTGCAGTGAACTATGATGATTCCACTGCACTCTAGCCTGGGTGACAGAGCAAGACTCCTCCTCCCACCCTCCCCCTCTCCAGAGCATGGGTGGAGCCCAGGGAAGGAGGAGGGGGACCGACATGGTGCTGGGCTCTCCCAACCATGCCCCAGCTGCCCCATCCCAGGCCTTTGACCAAAATGACCA